CATTGCAGATTCCGTGAGCCCTACAGGTTCCAGATTGGCACATTTATATGGGTTGCCAAAAACCCACAAAGAACCATTGGCTATGAGGCCTATATTATCAGCCACCGACACGTACAACTTTCCCCTTGCTAAATGGCTCGACGAGAAATTGAAGCCCTTGTCCCTTAATCAGTATACAGTTACTGATAATTTTGATTTCACAAAAGAGATTCACGAGCTGAAGATCAACAAGGGTGAAATCTTGGTTTCGTATGATGTCTCCTCGTTATTCACAAACGTGCCTTTGGACGAAACAATAGAGATCTTGGTTAACAGAGCCTTTTCGAACAATTGGTTCAATACTACCCACAATCTTGCCCTTACCAGAACAGATCTTATTGACCTCCTAAACGTAGCCACCAAAGGCCAACTATTTCAATTTAACGGAGCTCTATACGAACAGACAGATGGCGTTGCTATGGGGTCCCCTCTCGGGCCCTTATTAGCAAACGTCTTCATGTCATCCATCGAAGATACCCTTGAGCGACAAAGAAAACTCCCATCCTATTATCGTCGATATGTTGATGATACACTCACTGTAATGCCTGATCTAGCAACAGCAACTACCTTCTTGCATACCCTCAACAGCGCCCACACTTCGGTCAAATTCACCATGGAGGTGGAGAAGAACAGCAAGCTTCCTTTCCTTGGCACCGAACTACTCAACCATGCACCTCGGATTGAAACCAAGGTATATGTGAAACCAACAAACACGGGCCTACTATTACACTACCAAAGCCATGTAGACAATCGCTACAAACGGAGCTTGCTGAAAACTATGCTGGATCGCGCACACCGATTATCTTCCTCCTGGGCCCATTTCTCTGATGAGTGTGATCGCCTAAAGAAAGTTTTCGCACGGCTTAAATACCCGGAACGCCTGGTAAATTCTACCATTAACACCTTCTTACAATCAAGAATTGTTGGTACGCAGCCCACACAGACGCCCAAAGAACCAATATCCATTGTTCGTGTGGTCATACCTTTCAAAGATCAGGAATCAGCAAATTATGTTAAGAAAGAGCTCAAGAATCTTAGCATGAAGGTGCAGACAACTGTCCAGCCAGTATTTGTTAGCCGCAAAGTTGGCCAAGATCTTAAAGTACGAGAAATCAAGCCACAGATTGTCAACCAACAACGCGTCGTTTATCAATTTCAATGTGACCTGTGTGATGCGGGTTATGTGGGCTATACACGCGGACACTTACACACACGCGTGGATGGACATAAACGAAAGGCATCTTCAATATATAAACACTACCACGAACGGCACAGCGAAGTCCCGAAAGACCTACTGAAACGTTTTAGCATTCTGAAAAAGTGTAGTAACAAGTTCGATTGTTTGGTGAACGAAATGCTTTTCATCAGAGACTTAAAACCCACTCTGAACGTGCAAAGCGATTCAATTCGCGCAAAAGTATTTGTTTAATTAGCTCGTAACATATTTATGCTAATTTAGTGTTACACCTTGCCACAAACTTCATTTTTTAATTCTCCTTGACAATGGTGTCATGATGACACCGAAACGTCGGTTTTTATCGTTAGTTTTTGCTAGTCTTTGCATTTCTAAATCTTTATTGATATAAAATATATGACAATGTAACTAAGAGACAAATATAATTTTATGACTCTTTTGACAACATAGCTTTTCTTTTCTAGCTTGCCTGCATGTTAATCTTTCTCAAAGCACTAAGAAATGTTACTCCAAGGTTTCCATCACAATAATACACCACCTAGATAGAAACAATATAGGCACTGAAGACTAACTATAGACATTCATAGTTACGTTGTATAGTACTACATACAGTGGATAAACATGTACATGTAGATGCCATCAAATGACACATTCAGTTTTTATTGTGGCTTAATTCTTGTTAAGACTGAAATATTTATATAAGGCAACCACTCACAAAAATGGTTCAAATACATGTAGTATGAAAAAGACTTTTGGTCTCATCGTAGAATAGGTCACAACAATATTACTTTGCTTGCTTTAAGTAGTTGAATAAAGACAGAATTGGTCATGTTAAGTTCATTAATATAATTTCCACTTTTGTGTGCAAATGAGAACCACATGAGAAAAATTACCATACAGTCATCACTAGATAGATAAGCCAAGCTCCTTTCCTGTTTCAGGCAAGCCAAGCAGTGATCTCAACATTTATTCACTAAAAAAAATATGATAACAAAGAACCAAAATTTTTCATGTGATCTTACCATGTTAGTGCCTGGCAATCACCTGTAAAAATTAGACTTCCACAGAGTCCCAGCTTAAAATAGGTGAGCCTTTTGTCTGCTCTAGAGAACTAAAGTTCCAAAATTATTGTCATCTGGTTACAAATTAGGATATTATCAATCAAAATATAGACTTGTTCATGTGTAATTACATTCATTTACCATTTTAGTGCCCAAGAAACACCTGAGGATAAATTTCCCACAGAGTCACAGCTTGAAAAGCCAAGTTCCTCTGCTGTTTTAGGCAAGCCAAACGGTGATATCAGCAGTTTTTCGTGCTCGAAAAACTAATTTCAAAAATGGTTCAAGTAAAATTAATATCATTTTAGTGCCCTAGAAACACCCAAGAATAAATTTCCCACAGAGTCACAGCTTGAAAAGCCAGGTTCCTCTGCTGTTTCAGGCAGGCCAAACAGTGATACCAACAGTCTTTTACTCAACACAAATTAAATTAAATAATGGCTCATGTGGAATTAATAACACTTTAGTGCCCAAGAAATACCTGAGGATAAATTTTCCACAGAGTCACAGCCTGAAAAGCTAGTTTCCTCTGCTGTTTCAGGCAGGCCAAATGGTGATACCAACAATCTTTTACTTACTACAAACTAACTCCTATAATTAGTTTGAAAGGGAAAATTTACCATTTTAGTGCCCAAGGAACACAGAGCTGCAGTTTGAAAAGCACAGTTCCTCTGCTGTTCCAGGCATGTCAAACACTTACCAAAGTTTCCAGTTCAAATATTTTGTTCCCAAAAAGCACCTGGAGATGTCATTTCTCACAGAGTCACAGCTTAAAAAAGCCAAGTTTCTCTGTTACTTCAGGAAGGCCAGACAGTAACTGAAATTGAAAAGGACAATTATTAACACTGA